TAAATATCAGATCTCTCTCATTAGTGGATGATTTGATAAGTGAACATCACATTGATTTATCGTGTCTTACTGAAACCTGGTTACAGCAGGAAGAATATAATGAATCCACCCCACCTAGTCACAGTAACTGTCACATCCCTCAAATCACAGGCCAAGGTGGAGGTGTGGCAGCGATTTTTGACTCAAGTCTATTAATCAACCCTAGGCCTAAACATAGATATAACTCATTTGAAAGCCTCACCCTGAGTCTCTCACACCCAAACTGGAAAACTCAAAAGTCAGGTCTATTGTGGTATACCGTCCACCTGCCTCTTATTGAGAGTTTTTAACTGAATTTTCAGACTTTCTGTCTGATTTAGGGGTTATTATAGATAATATAATCATAGTGGGTTTAATATCCATGTAGATGCTGACAATGACACCCTCAACAGTGCATTCATATTAATGATATCACTTTATTTGGCCAAGTATGTTACTCACACACACACAAGGAATCTGTTTCTGGTACAGAATGGAGGCAGCCATCTATAGCGCCAACTCACACCAATGGCTCTAACCATCAGGGGCAACATGGGGTCCAGTGTTTTGCCAAGGGACACTTAAACACGTGGACTGTAGGCACCATAATTTTATCTTCCAACCGTCCGGCTGGGAAACGACCACTCTACCCACCAAACTACCGACTCAATTGGCTTTTCTCAAACTGTAAATAAACCCACTCACTGTTTTAATCACACCCTTGATTTTGTTCTGACATATGGCATCAAAACTGAATACTTAATAGTTTTTGCTCAAAACCCTCTTCTGTCTGGCCATTTTATATTAACCTCTGAATTTACATTAATGGATTACACACTATGTGTGGAAAAATTATGTTACAGTAGATGTCTGACAATGCTTTTACTAAATTTAAGGAAATATGTCAGGGTCGGCGCGTAAAGCTGCCAATGATGTCAAGGGTGAACTCAATTATAACGCCAGACAAACACAGGTAAAGTATAGATTCTTTACTAGCAACACAAAACAAACAGAACAAAAGTCCAGAATCCAAATGAGGTCACTACTACAATCCAAGGTCAATGCCGGCAAACACACACACCCAAGGGATCCACAATCGTGAGGTCAGAGAGGAGATATCCGAGGGTCGGTACACAGCAGGCTAACAGAATTGGGGGGATAAAGCAAAAAACGGTGGTCAAAAGCAATCTGGGGTCAGAACAAGACAGTCATGCACAAGAATAATCGCTGGAAAGTCACAGCTGGAGTCTAGAACAATCTGGCAGCTTTCCGGTGGAGAGAAAGCTGCTTATATCGGGGTGAAAACAGGTGTAAACAGTGGAGTACTGATTAAAGTAAAAAGCCCGTAACTGAGCTATGGCTAAACAGGAACAGGCGAAACAGAATCATGACAGAAATAATTCCATCATTATTTACTTCAGTGCCATGTGCCAACACAATGGAGGGCAGCCACCTTAACTTGACTCCCACATAAGTCAATAATCTTGTTGATAGTACTGCAGCCTCCCTCTGTACGACACTTGATACTGTTGTCCCTTTGAAAAATAAGGCAGTGAAACAGAGGAGGCTAGCCCCGTGGTACAGCTCACAGCTCCACTACCTAAAGCAGGCATCACAAAAACAAGAAAGGAGGTGGCGCTCCACTAAGTTAGAAGAATTATTCTTAGCCTGGAAAGATAGTTTAATAACATATAAAAAAGCCCTTCGTAGTGCCAAAACTGCATATTATTCATCACAGATAGAGAGCACAATAAGAACCCCAGGTTTATTTTCAGCACTGTAGCCAGGCTGACAAAGAGCCACAGTGCTGTTGAGCTTAATATTCCCTTAGATCTGAGCAGCAATGACTTCATGAGTTTCTTTACAAATAAAATCACAACTGTTAGAGAAAAAATGTATCAAATCCTTCCCACAACTCTCACAGACATATACAATGGCTTTAGAATCATCTGTAAGACCTCATTTATACTTAGACTGCTTCTTTCCCAATGATCTCTCTGAGTTTACCACAACAATTGCTTCATCTAAATCATCAACATGTCTCTTAGACCCCATCCTGACCAAGCTGTTCAAAGACATCTTGCCCCTAATCAACACATCCATACTAGATCTGATTAATCTCTCTCTATTAACAGGTTATGTTCCACAGGCTTTTAAGGTTACTGTAATTAAACCTCTACTCAAAAGCTGACTCTTGACCCAGGTGTCCTAGCTAATTATAGACCAATATCCAATCTCCTCTTTATTTCTAAAATCCTTGAAAAAGCTGTTGCAAAGCAGTTATGTGACCACTTAGACAAGAATGATTTGTTTGAGGATTTTCAGTCAGGATTTAGAGTCCATCATAGTACAGAAACCGCATTGGTGAAAGTCAACAATGATCTCCTCCTTAGCCTCAGACAAAGGACTTGTCTCCATGCTTGTCCTCTTAGATCTCTGTACTGCTTTTTACACCACTGATCACAGCATCTTACTGCAGAGACTTGAACATGTTATTGGGATTAAAGAACCGCACTAAGTTGGTTGAAATCTTACTTAGAAAGATTCCATTTTGTTCATGTTAATGATGAATCTTCCACGCAGAAGACTGAAGTTAGTCATGGCATTCAGCAGGGCTCTTTGTTTGGTCCAATTTTCTTCACTTTATACATGCTCCCTTTAGGCAATATTATCAGGAAACATGGCATAAATTTCCATTGCTATGCAGATAATACTCAGTTATCAGATCAGTTGGTCAAACTTCAAGCATGTCTTAAAGACATAAAGGCCTGGATGACTTGTAATTTCTTAATTTTAAACTCTGACAAAACTGAAGTTATTGTCCTTGGGCCTGAAAACCTTAGAAATCTGCTGTCTAACCATATAGTTACTCTAGATGACATAGCTCTGGTCTCCAGTACTACTGTGAGGAACCTTGGAGTCATTTTTGACCAGGATATATTCTTTAAATCACACATAAACCAAATCTCTAAAACTGCCTTCTTTTCACCTGTGTTATATTGTAAAAATAAGGAGCATCCCTGGCTCAAATAAGGAGGTGACCCTGAGCCTTCCCTTAGTTATGCTGCTATAGGCCTAAGCTTTTGGAGGGCCCCGTGATGCTCTGAGTTTTTCCCTTCTATTCTCTCCCTAAACCTTACTTTGTAAAGTGTCCTGAGATGACTTTTGTTGTGATTTGGTGCTATACAAATACAATTGAATTGAATTAAAAATAGTGCACCGTTGTTTACCTATCTATGGAGGAAAAATTCAAATTAATTAATGCCATTGCGGTTTGTTGTGATGTTAACTTTCGACACAACACTGGCACAGGAGTTGTGCGTGTTCATGAACTATCTTCTCATTTCTAGGAAGAGGCTTTCTGGTTTCATTGTTCTGAAATAATTACAGACTATTTGGGGTTATGATGGATGCAATGCTAATCTAGAGGTACCCAAGATTAAGCATTAAATAGCTGGAAATGAGCATGGCATGAGCTCTTTAAAAACAATGTTCCTCAAAGAAGGAAAGGAAAGGAGATATGTCACCCTCTACGATACATAAAATTTAAAGATTCAGCGAATCTGGAAGGATTTCAATGTGTAAAGGGCAAGGGTGTAAACCTAAGCTGGATGACTGTGCTCTCCAATCCCTCACATGGCACTGAGGGAAAACCCAGCAAATCCCCCTTGAGCAAGCACTTGGCGACAGTGGGGAGGAAAAACTCACTACAAAATATAGTTCCCATCACAAAGTGAAAACGCATATTGTGGTCAGATGAATCAGTATTTCAGGTATTTTTAGGAAGAAATGGATGCCCGTATGCAGGCATCCATGTGTTGCAGGCATCAGAATTGAAATAAGTGTTTATTTTGAATAAAGAATAAAATTGATGAGGTATGACATCAAATAATATGCTGCGGTATTGTTTTCAATATAATACAGGACACAGATGATTTACAAACCACTATGTTCAGTTTTAATTTTGATTTTACCTTTTACATACCATAGCTCTGATTTGGGGTTATATATCTTTATCATTTTTCTCCCTTTTCCACTCCAACTTGCTGTCTTCCTCTTCCTTCTCAGGGTCCAGCTTATCTACCCACTTGTCCACTACCATATATCCTTCATTCTCTTCTATTTCTTCTTCACAGAGGTCTGCTGATTTCATTGCACTCACTCTGGGCATGACAGAGAAATACAAGTTTACCATCATTTCTTGTATTTTTCTTCCTGCTCCGTGGTACTTTCTGTCACAGGTATACCTTCTTCTGGTTCAAGCAACACTTTTCCATCTTCCTCCCACTGGTTTGTTGTTTCCTCAGGCTCTGCTTCATTGAATAGTGGGCATTCCAATATCTCCCGAAGGTACTGTAGTGTCCACAAGTCCAAAGCAGACCTTTTGGAAGTGGTGCTTTATCTGAGAAACTCAGAATATTCATAGTTAATAAATTAACTGTATTAAGAACCAGCTGAAGACTGGTACATGCAAAATGCTCTTTGGATTATCTCTCCTTATCAGATGGAGAGCCCAGATCCTGTCTCCAGAAACCCAAAACCCTTTCTCTTTGTGACTCCTAATACTCATCATGAACCTCACATTCTGACCTTAGATATTTAGTCTGAGCTATTTAAAACAAACTCAAAATGGTTATCTGATTGGTTTCCAGGGGAATGGAACAGTGGAATGTGAGAATGCCATAAAACATGGTTTAAGACTTGCTCTCTCTTTTGGTTAAAGAAATATCTAGATTTGGAGATGTGTCATTTTGTTAACCACAAGTTGTGTGAAACATCTATAAGAAGGTTGAAAATGTTGGAGTCAAGTTGATGATGTTTGGACATACATAACTACTCACGGCAAAGACTTCTTCCTTCAAGTTCTTATAACAGTAGAAATGAGTACAAACCTAAAGTCACATTAATGTGAACCAAAATGTATAAATGTAAGTGATACTGTTATGGTTTTGCCTCTTTTCTAGTTCTGAGAGCTTTTATTTTGGTTTACTTCCTTCTCTGTGCCACCTCACCTGCCCTAGCTTTACCTCAGTACTCACCATTTATTGTTTTCACCTGTTCCTCATTATGTCCCGGTCTGCAGCACATACAATATATACCTCCTTTTTTCCCCTCAGTCCTTTGCTGGTTCATTGACGTTACTATGATCCTGACAACGCTGAAGAAACTCACTTTGTTTCTTGTTCCTGCCTGGTTTGCTGCTCACGACGTACGTGCACTGTGTGAGTCTTCATCTGCCACTACCTGTGCTTCTCGTTCCTGCCTGGTTTGCTCCTGACGGCATCAGTACACTTTGTGAGTCTCCCTCTGCCCTTTGTCTGCTGTTAGAAATAGCCCAATTCTTTTGTTGGAAGCACGAGAAGTGAAGACAGGAGAGGACTGTTTAAAATCAACAGGAAGTTTACTTAAAGTCTGGGCACAGGTGAAGCCATGCAGCACTGGGATCAGAGAGACAGAGCTCCCGCAGGAGATCCATTCTCTGAACCATGAGTTATGTTTTCAGAATACTTTTATCTTCTTGGGCTGCTTTGTCCTGGACAACATTTCACACTTCGTAATCCTGTTGGCCATTTGGTGTGAGTAGGTCTACCCCTGCCTGCGCCTGCTTGCTGAAATGTGATCTAAACCACGTGTGTGTTTCTTTGATCCATGGACACAGAACAATGGGTGGTCTGGGCTGCAGGCCCCCCTGAGTGTGTGTGATGCTAATAAATATGCTAAACTGGCCAGGAGACCCCATGACAAAGCAAAACTTGGAATATGCTAAGTGGGTCTAGGTGAAGGTGCAAACCAGGCCAACAGGTCTTTGTTAAAATGTAAAATAGGCTGTCTGGTTACCTGAAGGTACAGACACTGTGTCTACACAGAAGTTAAAGCAGGCAGTTTCTACTTCAGTATCACTTGACTCATCCATACAATTGTGAGATATACAGTATAAGCAAGGACAATAAAGGTATTAAAAGTAACCAAAGCTCAGTAGTTCTGGACAATCATCAATATAGCATATATATATATATAAAAGAAAAGAAAGGCAACTAAAGGAAACTAGAGTTATGAAACATAAAGGTATGAAAAGTAACTAAAGCTTATAAAGTAACTAGAGCCTATAAGAATCAAATCTTACACTGGCACTCACCTGTGTTCCTTGTTCCTGCCTGGTTTGCTCCTGACAATGCCTGCGCACTGTCAACTCTCCTGTCTCTGCCACCTTACCTGTGAATTTCCTAAATCCCCAGCTACACTGGCCATGTCTCCTGGCCCAGCCTATCTTGCTGTATATTCCTGTTTGGCCAGCGATGCTGTTACTCACCTGTCTCCATCACCTTACCCTACTACTCACCTGTGTGCCCCCTCGTCAACCTGGCTCTGGTCCTGCCTCCACTCCTTGGTGTAGCCTCAGCTCCACTCTGCCATCCTACTTACCACCTTTGGGAGGTCCTGCCTGCCTGACTCACCTGAGCGCTCCCGGTACTACCGCGACACTTGTTCTCTGTACTCTTGTATGTTAATAAAGACTTTCTAATCTCTCTGCATTTTGGGTCCTAGCCTCATGCTAGAAACCTAACGGATTACATGAGTGTTCCATGAAAACTAATACATGCCTGTGTACAATGCTTGATAAATCAACCATCACCAAAAACTTTGCTAATCTGACACCCTAAATTCTGCAGTACAGCTCCAAAGATTACTTGGGAAATTGTTTTTGATTTCTTCATTAGGGATCATTGATTGTTGGATAATATTCTGATGCAATATCTTATTGAATGAATGAGGCCCTACATTTTTCAATAGACAGGGCAGGTAATTTCTTCCATTTGGAGCAGATAGTGATGCTGAAAAACTGAGGATTGGTATTTTGGATACTTGAGTTCGAGCCTGCTTTGTGTTTTGGTTGACCCTCTACTAGGCTTCTTGATCATGTGGGGGCAGCACCAGCTGATAAGTGACACATGACTCATGTCAGTATGATGTTACCAGCTTGCAGCATGGAGCCCTTGGTCCAGGGCATTATTTTAATTCCTCATCAGAAAAATACATGGAAAGACTTTGTTTTCAAATCTTGCAAAGAAATTACAAATAAAAAGTAACTGCTACCGAATGCAAGGATGTTCTCCTGGTGCCACATTTCAGCCAATCGTGTCTTGATGAGCCAGCTCTGTTGAAGGTGAGGCAGCATGATTACTCTACTGATAGTTATATTTATTTGCTTAAGTGCATTTACCATGCTGGTCATTTTAATACTTGTTCATGTAATCTGTCTTTATTTTCTGATGGTGTGATGTGTAGGTTGTGTCTATTAACTGTGTCTCTTTTCCATAATGTGTCCCCTCTCTCCCTTTCAAGTCAAGTGTTTGTCATATGCACAGTGAGGAAGCGTGTTTCCCTGTACAATGAAATTCTTACTTTGCTGTCCACACAAATGCCACACAATATAAGTGAACTATAAAGTAGATAGCTAGTGTTGGACCCAGTTCTTTTCACTACGTTAACTCTGAGAGACGAAGCAGTCCAAGTAACTTCAAAACAGTGCTGATTTATTCAATGAACACAGGTAAAATTAACATTACACGCTCAGGAGTCTTTGCACCTCCAACATGCACGCAGGCAGCTGGTAGATGAAAAAGCCCCGAACCATAACAGGCCTATACATTATATCACTTTGGGCTAGCCCCACACTACTCAGGGACGCCAAACCGTGACGTCTCCCAGTGCCAGCTTTGCAGCTGGCCATAGCAGTAGTCAAAGCATGAAGAAAATCAATGTGTGATTGTGTGGTGTGTATCTAAGACATTCTGACATGACATTAAGTATAAGAAAATATGACTACGACTATATCTAAACACGTCATAATAATAAACATTCTGTCTCCTAACTGTAATTTTCTATCTAGTTATCCTTGAACCTGAACAACCTGGAGTACCCTTATGGGAATGACTAAGCATTTAACAGCCTGAGCTAGACTAAGTTCTCCACCCCTGCAGAGTCCATAGTTAGATTGTAATGTTACACCACCACCATCACACACTTAAAATTTTATAATCATTATGATTATAATCATTTATAGCTGTCCCTGGTAGGCTAGTGGTTAAGGCGCAGTTCTCATAAAAAAGATGCACAATACGAAACCATTTTTAGTGGATCATCAGTGATATTATTTATATTAAGTTTGTGAATTGCATTACTGGAAGAACATGCATACCATGGGGGTTGGGCACAGCACAGGGGGGGAGGGCGCACACACCCAAATCACACACATGTTGGGCATCAGTTTCTAGGTGACCAAAAAAGCTTTCCAGGAAGTAGTTTGCAGATATTAACTAGTTTTTCAAGCCTCAGACTCTGGCTTTAGTTGTATTGATGATGATGATGAGGAGGAAGAGGAGGAGAGTCTTTTGTTTTATAACTAGAACAGAATTATGGGGTATAAGCGAGTTATTAGGTTTCCATATTAAAGATTTTTGAGTGAGATTTAGAGAAGTCAGTTTAATATAAACTGCTCTATGATCTGTAAGCAGCAGTGCCTAATTTGTAAATTATGAGGTCCTGGACTATCACTTGATGACAGATCTGGCATGTCAATGTGGAGAGAGGAGGTCCCAGAATGAAAAAAAATCCTCAGTGACTGGTGCATTTATCTACTTTCCACATTAAAGGAGCAGCTTAAAGGCAAATCATTATTTGTTGTGTGTTTGTAGCGACCAATATATCACACAAGAAGACACACATTTGCAAGTGCAAGTTATAGAGAATGTGAAAGTACTTCATGCCATGTTGGGACAAGGCCACTGTTTAAATCATTAAGATCTCACTTTACTGACCGTGGTAATTCAGAATGGATAACCTTAGCTGACTACAGCTAACTTGTAGGGAACCTAGAGATCCTGTCTACAAGAGCTACAGACTAAAAAATGACTCTGCACCCTGATCTGAGCTCCCACTTTGGGAGCTAACACTAGTTGGCTGCTGTTGGCAAATGCCATAAACACTGCAGAAGAATGATTTTCTGTCCTGTCTGTGCTTAAACTGAACACTAAAGTGGGTGTTTGGATGTAGCTGAAGCATCTGCTACTGTGTGTAGGTGTATGGGATAGTACTTTTTTTTTTTAATTTAATGTGAGCCTTCCCTGGTAGGCTAGTGGTTAAGGCGCAGCGCTTTCACCGCGTCGGCGCGGGTTCAAATCCAGGTTGCGGTAGGAAGGGCATCCAGCGTAAAACACATGCTAAATGTCAACATGCAAGTCAATTCGCTGCGACAACCCCAAAAAGGCAAGAGTGATATTCAGATATGTAGTGTGTGTGTACATATACAGTTTAGCTTCTGATTTCTGACTAGCTTTGCCCTGTATACATATACAGTATATGATGGATAATAAGCATGAGCTCCCCAAATGGCATATTTATGCAAAATTCAACACACGACTCCAACTTCACATTCTCTATAAAAATCGCCCAATTTATTTTAAATACATTAGTACTGTGAGGCTATGACCTCTAATGCATTCAATTAATAGGAAGCCTGGCATCATATTTAGGGCCTTACTGCACATTAACATTATATTCAGAATGTTACAACAACAAATTTAAAGCACCAGAGACTATATAATGCAGTAATGTTAATAAATATGTTCTTACTTGGAGTTATTTAAAACAGCCCATAATGCAGTCATGGAAGAGGAGTACTTTCATGTTATTCCTTGCTTTGCTTCAGTCCTATGTCCTTTTGAAATCCTTGACCTCAGCAACAGACTGACATGTAGTAACCTTTTCATTAACAGTTGTCAGCTTTATAACTGGGTCTCACTTAACCTGTTTAGCTTCTGATTTCTGACTAGCTTTGCCCTGCTGTGTCTTGAAATACTTTAGCAAATTTGCAGGTATCTTTTCCGGAGTTTTGTTCCGTGGCATAACATTACACTGAGTGTGCAGTGTGTGCGTGGGCTGTTGTGATGTAATTAGCCTAACTGGCTGTTTTTATTGCATTTCATTATTCTAATCTTAGTATAATGTGCTGTTGTAAAAGGCTAGTCATACAAAAAGTATTAGATCTTGGACTTTTTATATATTCTTCATATATTCAGTTTCTGTCATATGTGACTGAGGTGCTGGGTCTATCAAAATAGACACCGGTCACAATTTGAGAGGTGCTGGATCCAGATGTGGCTTGTTTCAGCATAAATTAACCCCTGGTAAGTGGAGTAGATAAAATGTTTATTTGTAGCATCTTTTTTGCCTTTTTTGAAACAACCCAGTAAACAATGCGAGATTGATGAGATCTGTTGTGCCAAGGGTACATTTTAGTATGAGAAAATTTTTCCCAACACAAATTAGTAAGATGTAAACGTTACATAAAATAATTTTAGGTCTATACTAATAGAGAAAGGTGAATGTGGAGGCCAGCTGCAGCCTCTCTCTAGGCATGGCTGTGTTTCACCTGCTCAGCTTTGTTCCCACTCAGTCTGCCCAGCTTTGCTCCTGCTCAACTTGCACACTCTGCATGACTGGTGGTTTCTCTATGTCTTCCACAGCTTGGTTTGACTTTAGATTCAATAAAGAAAAATAAATCCTATTTCTTTTGGTCACAGTCCTGCTTTTGGAGTCCAGTTCCCTCTATTTAAGACCTTTGGTCCTAACAGTACAAACACCTGCTGAATGTTCTTGATCCATGGGAAAACCAAATAGAATTATCTCCACTGAGATTTCCAAAAATTGATGTCATTAGCTGTGGAAGGTGATTCCTGAAAAGTAAAAAAGAAATTTGTTTGAACCTGCTTTGTTCACAAAACAAGTTTACATTTAAGATTATTTCTTAACCCCTGGCACTGAGAAAACAATACACAGAGACATTTAGATAAGAATAAAAAGTTCATACATTAACTTATAACTTAACTTAAATAACATAAAAACTTAGAGGTAGAGAGTAAAAGTACAACATTTTCAAAGTACATATACTGTAGTAATAACTTTGTCTCGATCACCAAATGACAGCATCTTCAATCTGGAGCGAAGATTTCAGCCCCACTAATAAAAGCATGCCCACTAATGATGTAAAATTAATTTTTTTAGCATACTTTTTCAATTGGGACCAGAGCTTTCATCTTTTCATCTTGGAGAGATCTGCAAACCTTAAACCATTTCTGCATAGGAATGGGGAATTTTTAAGTAGTTTTCCAGATCTTATCTCTGAAGACACAAGCAGTGAATTACAGGATTATGCTCTGAGGTTTATGAATCAAACACTTGGCTCCAAGGTGGTGGACTGTTCCAACAAAGGATGTCATATGCTCAGGAATAACAGCTTGACAGATTCAAATTGCTTCCTGTCAAACATCCTGGATCTCATCAAGGACTTCATTAAGACCTAAGTTCTAGTAGCATCAGCTTTTCTTTTTAACTCTTCTATTTTGTTGCCATTGCGGCTAATCGTTTCTTCCATGCACCAGACCTCTCATTTACGAGATGATGTTCACATGACCAGTTCAGCCTTTTTTTTCGCAGAGGGGATATTAGGGGAGTAGCCAGTACATGTGGAAATTCATCTTCATCCACAAATGGGGTGTGAAGGCTATAGTTTCAGAGGCTTTAGCATGACAATGTGGAACAGTTCATCAGTCTGACAGCAACTGGGAAGACACTCTTCCTCCTACTCAGTTTGGTGGTCCTTGCAGGTTCCTGCCTGAGGGCAGAGTGGCAAACAGTCCATGTGTGGAGTCTCTCATGATACAGACTGCTTTGTCCCTGCATCTATTGATGTAAATGTCTGAGATGGGTGGTAGGCTGCATCCCATGGTTCTTTGTGCAAACTTTACCACCTGCTGTTACGGCGAACTGTGTATATATGTGCTTGTTCGGACTCAGAAAAAGGCAGAACTCCGACTCAGGCTTGACCAGGTAAATGTATTTTAATAACTACAGATATGAGAAGTGGTCAGAACCGGTCTTGTCAGGTGATCTCAGGGCAGCGTGGAGTGCTGGGTTGACTGGACTGCTAGAGATACAACCCGAGGTTGTAGGAGAGGCACAGCTGGCTAAAGAAAAGCAGAGGATGAGAATGAGTAAAAGGGATGCTACGGTAATGGCAATACTGATAGTTAT